TATATATATATATCTTGATATGATTGCCAGGAGCTGGGGTACCAGAAGCTCAAAACAAGAATTAACAGCAAAAATCAACTGTTTGACAGAGAAGATCTGGCAATTTTTTATGTGCTCAACCTACATACTCAGCTCTACTGCTCATCCCACAAATGCTTGTTCCTTACAAATGTGGCACCATTTAAAAGAGTAATTAACAGGCTTTCCAATGTTATAAGCTTTATTACCAAGAATCATTATTACAAAAAAGAARTAATTTACSAAACACACATTTCTTTCCTTTTTGTGCTGAGTTTCAGGACAGCTCAGTTACAGTTCAACCAAATGTCCCGACAGTCGCAGCCACTCGAGCTGAGTTTTGGGTTGAGTTTTTSTCAGACTTTAATCTTTGTACGTTACTTTCAATCTGTGATTTGTGTCTCATCAGTCGTTCCTGTCCTTGGTCAACCTCCTGTCCTCCCAGTCGGTGTGGGAGCTTGTGGGACGGCAGTCTTTAGCCAACAAGAGTGAATACACCCTGAGGGAAACACCATCATCCATCCCTGTGAGTGGTTTTCACACACTTCCTGTTTCAACCACTAGAGGGCATGTTTGCACTTTAACTCAGCCTCCAACCAACACCCACACGTTTGTTTTACTTCACAAAGGCCTTGGATTAAACCCTCACAGAAACACTGAGGCGGATGTGTGTGTTTTTTCCACCCTCCACAGTTTTCATTTTGAACCACAGCCGTTGTGTTCGTCCTCACAGCCTCTCATTCTGCTCCACAGGATTTGATTGACAGGCTGATTGCTGTGAATTCAGATGTGAAGATCCATTCCCTGTTCCTCTATGAGCAGTCTCACACATTCGGCCTGAGGTGAGCTTGATATTTTCTTCATATAACTTAACATCAGTGGGGGGAAGCACACAGGATCAGATTAACAGCTGGCGACTCCTCAGTTTGTAGGATTAGGAGACGTCCACGCTTCTTTATTCTTTCATTACCCGGCGTTGGAAAGCTGATGAAAGGATTTCTCTGGATCAAATTGAAATAAGCTGGGCTGTGTGGGTATTTATGAACACCAGGACGCCCCAACAAGTGAGAGAACCGGTTAAAAAGAGAAGAGCTGAAGGGATATAAAGCGTAAGAAAAGCTCAATTCTTACTTTTCAGGAATGAGTTTTGGATTAAAACTCAATGTGTGAAAGTATATTTACAGGAGATTCTATATATTCTGTACCAAATGTTTGTTTACTCAGACGTATGTTCTGAATCCACCAGTGGCTGCTTCGCAGTTTTACATTTTTAGAAACTTTCTGAATCACACTAGCCTCGGCTCGTTTGGAGCCTTGCTGACTCTTTGCCCGTCAATCAGCCCACTCTTATTAGCATCCAGAATCCAAGTGAAAGGAAAAAGGATGCTTCGGTCCTTTATGCTCCTTTTCCACTAGTGTCACTWAGTGTCAGAACAGGTCAGTTCGGGTGCTTKTCCACTGACGTTCCAGTCCGGTTCCAGTGGGTGTATTTTGGGCGTTTGGTGGAGGTGGTTTATGGGTTTTTTGAAAAAAAAAAATTAATGTGCAAAATGAAAGATGGAAACACATTTGCCGAATAAGTTCAGAAATTTTTAAAAATTGCTAAAAATTCAAATTAAAATTGGATGGAAACACGACCAATGTCACTGCTACAATTGAGAAAATGGCGCCTCAAGTTGTTGTTGTAAAAGCAGCTCGGTCAAAACCAGTGACTCCACCCCCTAGCCAATCAGGGACKAACAGTGTTCTGACATCGCATTTTGGTGTCAACTGGGACCACTTGGAACCACAACGAAGTAGGTACTAAAAAAAAAGGACTGGTTCCAAGAATCTGGCCTAATGGAAATGGCCACTTTTCCATGGTGTAGTGTCGGAACGGTCGGTGTAGATACGGGTCGGTACGGTTGGTTTTCCACTGATGTTCCAGTCTGGTTCCAATGGGTGTAGTTTGGACGGTTGTTGGAGGTGGTTTTTAGGTTTTTTGAAAAAAATTAATGGGCAAAATGAGAGATGGAAACACATTTGCCGAATAAGTTCGGAAATTTTTAAAAATTGCTAAAAATTCTAATTAAAATTGGATGGAAACACGACCAATGTCACTGCTACAATTGAGAAAATGGCGCCTCAAGTTGTTGTAAAAGCAGCTTAGACAAAACCAGTGACTCCACCCCCTAGCCAATCAGTGACTAACAGTGTTCTGACATCGCATTTTGGTGTCAACTGGGACCACTTGGAACCACAACGAAGTAGGTACTTAAAAAAAAAGGACTGGTTCCAAAAATCTGGCCTGATGGAAATGGCCACTTTTCCGTGGTGTAGTGTCGGAACGGTCGGTGTAGGTACGGGTCGGTACGGTTGGTTTTCCACTGATGTTCCAGTCTGGTTCCAATGGGTGTATTTTGGACGGTTGGTGGAGATGGTTTTTAGGTTTTTTGAAAAAAAATTAATGGGCAAAATGAGAGATGGAAACACATTTGAATATTAACACTTGCAATAATTTAGCCAATCAGTGATGAGCAGTGTTCTGACGTCRCATTTTGGTGTCAGCTGGGGCCGGTTGGAACCACAGTGAAGTAGGGACTAAAAAAAAGTGCTGGTTCCATGGATCTGGCCTGATGGAAATGGCTTGGAACCGTACCGAACCGTACCGACACTACAGTAAGTGGCACTAGTGGAAAAGACTCCATGAGCTGACAGCTTTGGGTCTTCAGCCTCGTTTACACGAGAACRTTTTTTTAWAAATGAAACTGTACCATTTCTGTCRCATTTTGGCCGTTTGTGTTCACAACAACGACGTCCGTTTTCTCTGACACTGAAACGACTTGAGTCCACGTTTTACCGTGGAAGTGTTTGGAAACGCCTGGCATTGTTTTCAAGAAAATGCAACTTAAGTAACGTGACGTGTGCACTGTAGACAGCTGCAGTGAATGCTCTCACCCTCGCTTCAAATGAACATATTCGTCATTTTGGAGGAAACTGTTTTCATGACCGCAGCAGAGGTCCTCAGTCCTGTTCCTCCTGACCCACAGTCCTGCAGGCTTTAGACCAGGGGTGGGMAACCATGGTCCCCAAAGACCACAGCCCTGCAGGCTTTATGTTTTCCCTGCTCCAACACGTCTGATTCAGTTATTGAATTACCTCTTCCAAGTTGTGCAGAAGCCTGATAATCATTCATTCATTCATTCATTCATTCATTCATTCATTCATTCATTCATTCATTCATTCATTCATTCACTCAAATGAGGTGTGTTGGAGCAGAGAAACAAGTCAAATGCAATAATAATACAATAATAGTTCCACACTTGATCTGCTGTATTGAACTCTGGGGTAAAGTTATAAAACAATCACAAATCCTATTTTTATTGTCCAGAAAAGAGCTGTAAGAATGATCACCAGTCACCCATCAAATACATTATTTTATCAATTAAAATCATAAAAMGTTTATGAGTTGGTTGRTTGTAATATTTTACAGGTTATGGATAAGGCTCATAAAATTTTATTACCTTTGAACATCCAATCAAATTGAGTTAAAATGTTTAACGGGCTGGAGATGTTTGTAAAACCTAAAATTCAAACAAATCTGAATGACCGACGTGCTTCAGCAAGGAATAAGATTATGGAATAATCTGGAAAGGGATTATATAAATGTATTCAATCTATTTAAGTGAATGATAAAATTAGTTTGTTAAAGTAATATGAAATTGTGTATTCATAAGAGGTGTTGTTTGTTAAGGAGTTCAAGTTTTTGTTTTGTTACTTGAAGATCATTATTGTTTGAAATTATAGGGGCATATATTATAAGAC